CAATAGGGAATACAATGGCTTCTATGATTCTAACTTTTGTGCTGAGTTTTCTATCTTTGGATTTTAGAATCTTTTCTAGTTCTTTCATAGCCACCCTCCTCACTCTGAGGGGCTAAGCAGACGGGCAGTCGTGGGCCGCTCTGGGAAGCTGTACCGCGGGACCGAGGCATCCCCATGCCTCAATCTTGCGGCGCAGCTTCGCTGCCCCTGAAAGGAGCGCTAAATTAGCACTGCTTTCATAAGTCACCAAAAGTGCGCCGCAAAAGGCTACAGCGCACTTTCGGCGACTCTTCCGCTGCAGCGTGTCCGAATGCTGCGGCGGGAGGTCCTCCTCGGAGCGCCAGCCGTGCGGAGGGCCGGCTGCTCCAAGGACGACTTCGAGAGGGGATTGGGGCACCGAGTGTGCGGCTGCCCCTCCCCTTCCCTGCCCCCAAGACGGCCCAATAAGCCGTCTGCTTAGGCCCTTAGTCTTCTTCTGATTTCCTGACTGCAGTCCCCATTTCTATCAATGTTTGATCCCAGGTATGGAAATTCTTTTACTATTTCTATTTCTTCATTGTCTAGGTGGAACTTGTGAAGGTCCTTGGTGGTCATTATTTTTGTTTTCTTTATGTTCAGCATAAAGCCTGCCTTTGCACTTTCTTCTGTGATCTTCCTTAGAAGGTGTTCCAGGTCTGTGAGTTTTCTGCTAGTATTATGTTGTCATCTGCATGTCTTAGATTGTTGATATCCCTTCCTCCTGTTTTCACTCCTTTTTCTTCTGTGTCCAAACCTGTTTTTCTTATAATATGTTCTGCATACAAGTTGAACAGATAGGATGAAAGGATGCAGCCTTGTCTGACCCCTTTGCCAACTGGGAACTATTCTGTTTCTCCATGTTCTGTTCTGACAGTTGCCTCTTGTCCTGAGTAGAAGTCCTGTGAAGAAGTATATCCTTTTATTTGTCCCAAATAACCTATCGATCAGCTCCAGTAGAAGACCCGGGATTCTAGAATATATACAAAAACTATGCATGTTGTGGGGAAAGGGATCAGGATGAAAGCTCTCTCTCTCTTATATGTGTGTGGGGAGGGAGTTTCTCCCTATCTGCTTTCTCCACAACATGCACAATTTTATACATTTCTGTCATGTTGCCTTTTAATCCCCTTACTCCTGAAAATTGTTTTGATTGGGGGATAGAATTTTATTTGGATCAGTGGGAGAATTGAAGGTATTCCTCTGTGGGTTTGATGCAGGGATGTACCTATGGGGGACAACACAATCCCTTAAATAAGAAATATTCCCCCACCCCATGAAATTCTTTCCATCTGCAAATTTCTAACATTGTACAAAGTGAGACATGGAGAATCTTTCCTACATAGAACTCTCTTATTTGCTGGGTTAGTATTCCCTTGGAAACTTTGGCTGCCTTTTTTTTTTCCTTAATGCCTAAAGTGTATTTCCAAGTTACTGCAGCACTATAAATATGAGGAGTGAAGGTAAATTTCATTTTGGGGTGCAGGAGTCTTTACTGTGTTTGGTTAAGGTCTGGGGACATACTGG